TAACCTCTGTTATGAATTGGCACTATACAAATAAAATTGAATTGAATTGAATTAACTTTCACCCTTAGGTGCCACTCATATGATTGAGGCCGACATAATCATGAGAGGTTATGACCCCAAAGAGCCAATCATGGCGCATCCCCCTGACACAGACAGTGACATCACCCTGAGGGAGTGGCTGGAAGGAGTGAAGGCGCACGATAAGGGAATAAAACTAGACTTTAAGAGGTGAGACCCAGCTCTTTTTTGTGTGTGTGTGTGAGACGCAAACACTGACGTGTGCTTTCCGTGCAGCCTGGAGGCGGTGTCTCCGTCTGCGGTGCTGCTGGAGGAGGCGCTGGCAGAGCCGAGTCGTCCCGTGTGGATCAACGCGGATATCCTCTCTGGTCCTGGGGGGCAGGCCAGACCTCTGGAGCCTCAGGCTTTCCTTTCTGCTGTGAGAACTCTACCCACTCACACCGTGCTCTCTCTTGGGTGGACTACAGGATGGACCGCTGGGACAGATAACCCAGGTAAGGACACTAAAGTCCTCCCTGTTCACTGATTTTTCTTCTTTTTTTTTTTTTTAAACACTCACATTACAGGGTGTCATTGTTCATAACATAAATATTCAGCAAAGCTTTTATTTTATACCTTTATTACTTATGTTTCTAATGGTCTGGGTTTGCCACATATATTGTGACACTGATGTTAAAGGACGAGGCTGGTAACGTTTCACATTTTGGTTTGTGGAACCTGTTGCTACTGTGTGAAGGAAGCTTTCTGATTGATTTGTTTTAATATGTTTCAGGTTACAGCTGGGATATGGTGCATGCGATGGAGGAGATTTGTAGAACCCTTAAACATCCAGTCACCTTCCCAGTGCGGGCAGCTCTCCTGGCCCAGTCGTTCTCCCAGCTCGCATGGCTGCTGAAGCAGTCAGACAGGTGATTATCAACACTGACTTTATCTCTGTTTTAGTTCCACATGACTTATACTGTCATTGTGCTGTAAATCTGCTTTATTTCAGCCGGCCGCATTTCCCATAAATGTGGCTACTGTGGCTTTATGAGTCTTGCTAGCTTAGCACTCGCCAATTGTTGCCCAGTGGCTGTGGAGACACTCGGACCACAAGCAGAATTATCAAGATTTGTAGAATCCAGACAACTACCAGCAATAATCCAGCCTGAGGCTCCATCAAACACAAATAGAAACAAAATACTTTCTTTGTTCAATTATTGTAGCTAGCAAGCTAGAGTGAACTATTATTATTTTCTGACTTTTACATTGGCATGTAATATGGAAATACCTTTGAGCTGTTCGTTGAATGTGTATGCTTTCCCCTGTTGTTCACAGGTACACTTTAACAGTGTGGACCGGCCAGAGTGATGAGTTCACACTACAGGACTTACTGCCCTACAGGAGAGAGTTTGATAGCAGTAAGATCTACTACGACTTGCCGGACTCTCTAAGGACCGAGCTCAGTATGACCTTGCGTGACAATAACTGAATGTCCACTGCACACACATTCTGAGAGTAGTGACTCTGACAGCAGACTGATGCCCACAGGTGGAGAGAGGAAAGTGGAACTTGCTCTGCAAAACTTTTCCTGTAGTTCCTCTGCCATCGACCAGAATCATAATATGCTACAGCAGTTATTCCTGAGCTGCAGTCTGGACCACCCAATACATTTTAGGGGTCACGTGAGGATTAATAAGATAGAAGTGTAGCAAGTCTTCCTACAACTGTGGGTTCCCCCAGCACACAATCTTAGCATCACAAGTCAGTTACTCAACACAAATGTTACAGCTCTTTTGAGGCTACTATAGTCCTCTTCCAAAGTCCGTGACGGTTCACTCCAGACGTCGTTTCTGGTTTGTGTGGTGCGGCCAACTCAGGTCCAGCACATTACTGCATTAAGAGAGGAGCAGCTGAGATCCTCAACTCACCTGGTACTGCTCTCACCATCCGTCCCCACACCTCTCTCTCTCCTGCAGCTGAGGGTAAACCACACCCACCTCCACAGAAAAGATGAAGAAAAAGTACTTCCAATGCACAAAGGATGCTTATATTTTATAACTTTTCTCTAATGGTTGCTTTTCCTTGTGAAGTGGCCTCTAAATTTGTTAGTGACTACGTTTACATGCACAAAATATTCTGGTTTTTGCTCCTACTAAGGTCAGAGATATACTTGTGTATGATGGCTACCTTGGATAACATGTTCTGTTGCAATTTGGAATATTGATCTTTGTATCTCAAATCTTAAAATGTAAAGTAACTACTATCTAAAGCTGTGAAATAAATGTAATTGAGTGAAATTTTCTATCACTGTTTTTGTTCATTATGTCTTCTTTTCATGTGAAGCACTCTACCATACTGATGACAGATGACTTTAGAATATTTTGAAAAATATTATAGTGATGTTAGAAGTTACATACATAGACTGTAAAGTATCTAGTTCACTGTAAAATTTAGAAATGACTGAAAAAGTTATAATTATACATGGCTTGAAATAAAGTATGAATTACTCTGCCAAATATATTTTTTTATGTTTTAGTACTGTCAAGTACTGAATTCATGCTGAATAATATATCACATCTGCTGCTGCATTTAGGCATATTCGTATGCACACATAATGGGAATTAATAAAATGAGACACAGACAGTTTAGTGGATTTGTGCCAGCAGCTGGCAGTAAATATTAGTTTGTCTGAAGGCTTAAATACACAAAAATACACAGGTTATACTACGATGAGGTTAAAGATATAAGTAGCTGAGACAGATGAGACAATCTTCATTATTTTTAATCTGCTTCAACTGTTCATTGTCTAATGGATTTTCACATACATGCAGCTAGAGGCCAAGAGTTGTTTCAATTCAGAGTGGTGAATTGTCACAGTCCTCTCCTGAGAGCTGTAGTGATCACCATCATTGAGCAGATTACCTTGGTATTCTTTGAAAACAAACAAAAAACAAATGTCCAAAGCAAACAAGTTTTCCCTGCCTGCCTCTGACCACATCGAACTCAAGTTGCACATGTTGATACTAAGTCACTCAAATATTTGATATAAGGTTTATTGAAAATAGACAGACAGTGCAATATAATACAACGAAGAACACTGAAGGTTGAGTGTACCACTGAAGTGTTGCCAATGGCAACTCTGTACATAGTGAAAGGAGTATCTGAGAATGTCTTAAATTTTCAAGGATGCAGATGTACTGATTTGCAATTTAGATAAAAGGTTTTTCTAAAAGGGAAGAATAGTTTCCCTCACTGTGCAGCTTATGTTGATGAGTGCCCTTTTTTTCTAACTGATATGCAGTGCACTCAAAATTTAGATCATGTGTATATACACAGCCATATTTAATAACTGATAAAACTATAATTAGGAAGAATAATTAAACACAACTGAAAAGGGGCTCAAAATATAATTCACACAGACCACTTTTGTAGTCCAGAAATGGCTATTAAACTAGTAGATTAGAAATGGTTGTTTCTTAAGAGGTATTTCACTCTGTACTGTACTTTCTTTGATCCAAGGTCATTCTCAAAGCTTTCTGTAATGTCACAGCAAGTGTCAAACTTCTTTGGCTCACACTGTTGCTGTTAAATTAGGTCTGAGTCATGAAATGAAGTCCTGCTATTCAGCATATTGCTTAATGCCACTATAAATTGTAAAAGTATAGACTAAAAAATTTATTTTACTTGAACAACCATGTGACTCGAGCTTGAAGGTTCATTCTTGACCTCGTGAGCAGCAGTTTGACAAAAACATTCTCAACACAAGATCCCATTTGCTTGTCGCTTCCAAATCTTTCAACTACATCACATGCCCTTCCTCAGCATATTGAGTTGCTCAGTTGTCATGGAGATGGTTTAGTTGTCAGAACGTGAACTAAGTATGGATGATAACAGGCGGTCATATAGGGGATTATTGAGGGCCCTCCTACACCAAGCACTACATCTTATGATTGAGGAGGAGGATAGAGGGGGGAGGTATAGCATGTCTGAGGGTCTCTTAGAGCCAACTGGTACGAAGAGTGGATGATAAAAATCACAACCCAACCAGCAAGAAACAGACATCAGCTGTCTGTAAACACCGGACCAAAACCGCTCACAGCATCAAATGGATCAGGAACATCGGCCAGGAGTCAGGAAAAACAAGGAATGTCTTTGCTGGCTAAAAAAACAAGTTTACCATCTCTTCCCCATACATGACAACCTATTAATATGACCGAAATACATAGGTGACATGATTAAAGCTAACTTATGACAACTAGCAAGTCCATCCACTGAGGAAGGGAACAACATGTTGAATGTGTTAAGAACTTTTTTGTCCAACGATCTAGCTGCTCTGTAAAAATGCTATAGTATTTTTTAAAGTTTTCTCGGGTAATTATTTCACATTAAAGTTACATTTTGTATTCTTTATATGTATTCTTTTGGTATGTTTCATTACACGGAGCTGAAACTGTCCCTGTGGCTGGTATGATGATATGAAATCAATGCAGCTTCAGAATGTCTAAATTGTACTTTGTCTTAAAACTGCACATGAGCTGGTTTCAGTGATGGTATGATAGGTGTAGTACAGCAATGTATGTTACTGGTAAGAGCACATGCATTTTCTCCTGATACATGCAATATTTTCTTCTAGTGGCCAAAAGTTTCCTTGAAGTTGACCAGCTCTTTTATCTGCTCACTCTGCATTGAGTGTCGTCTCCACAGAATTTTCTTGGCTTTTAGATCCCTCAGAAAAACAGGTGCACAGGGTAGGATAGGCTTTGACCCTGTAAGAACACCATTCAGTGTCTTGCTACTTCCACTCAAAGGGTAGGAAGAGCTAGAGCTGACCCCAATATCTGGTATAGGAGCATGGGGATTCAGAGGAGGGAGGTATCCAGGGCGAGTGTGGGCAATGTGATCCAGTAGAAGGGCCCCTGAGCCTCTTCGCTCCAGCCCAGCAGCACCTCGTCTCTGGACAGAGCTCTCCAAGGACTCCCTGGATCCTGACAGAGTGGAGGATCTGCTGTTGACCAGCTTGAGCCTTTCTGGTCCCGTTCCAACTCCGCCACCATTCTTGGAGCTATTGTCTCGGCTGCCAAACTGTGGTAACTGAGAGTCAGAACTGTAGTGGTCAATACCAATGTTCCGTCGACGGACCACATTTTGCAGACTGGAAACATTCAGTTGTCTGAGACAGTCAGAGGAATCTTCATCCAAAGGACAGGATTCATGGGGAAAGGGTAAACTGTCTTGATGCAAGTTTGGGTGTGAAGCAGCATGCAGTGAACTAGTAGTAGTAGTACTATCATATGACATCTTTCTACCAAAGCCTTTTCTTCCACCTCCTCCCCTATTTTCATTTCCAGAAATGTACTCTAGTGCTTTCAGAAACCCTGTTGTGTCTTTGACATCAATGCTGTGGTGGCGTGAAACAGCTGGAGGTCTTCCGTGGAAGGCGAGGCTATTGTTGACTCTGAAAGACAACTCCTCCTCAGGTGTTATTCGCACTGGCTCTTCTGTCAGAGAGGTGGCCTGGGTCTGCTGGAGGAGCAGTGAAGGACTTTTGGACCACTGCTCAGAGTGTAGTCTCTGGAGATTAAGTCGTTTATCCACACCAGGGACACGTAAAGGACTAGGATGTTGGATTGGAGAACCTGGTCGAGATGTGACTAGACCAGGTCCTGAACCTAAACACTGGGGATCCCTGAGGCCAAGAAGGGGGCTACCAGGCTGGGGGGAAGCACTTGCTGAGGAGCCCTGTGGAGGAGTTCGTAGCTGGACCTCATGTGGTGACATGCAACAAGATGTTGGGGTATAATGCATACGTTCCTCAAGGTCTGGAGGTGGAGGGACATTGAGGTACTGCTTTGTCATCTGATGGCCGGATGGCAGTTTGTTGGTGGTAATGATGATAACCTCCTTACCCTTCGCTTTACAGGCATCCAGGAGGACCCTGAGGACATCCCTGTTGCCTGAATTGACAGCGTAAATCAATGCTGATAAGCCTGAATGATCCTCCAGAGTTGGATCAGCTCCACTGGTCAGCAGGAGTGACAGAATTTCAGCTCCAGCTTGTTCGAGGCATGCATGCATCAGAGCTGTTTTCCCTGTCTTGTCTTGGATGTTTGGATCAGCACCATTTTCCAGAAGATACCTGTTGGGAGAAATATCACATTTATTACACCAGGAAACTAGTAATCCTCAACAAAAACATATGCTTCCAAGAAGTATCCTGATAGAACATACCGAACCATCTTGTGTTTGGGTACACTCTGTGAATCTGTATGGCGTGTCTTGCAGGCCACCATAAGCGGTGTCTCGCCATGTTCATTACTCTCGTTTATGTAGGCCCCTCCCTCCAGGAGCAGCCGAGTCAGACGCAGGCGACTCAAATAGACAGCCTTTAGAAGAGAATTGCCATCTGTTCGAACCTCTGTTGACTCATCCATTGTAAGGATCTTGGCTGCCTCTAATCCGCCTTCAGTGTCTTTGATGAATAATCTTTGCTATGTTCAAAGGTGCACAAAACCCAGTGCCTGCAATAGAAGAAAATGAATAATAAATAAGTGTTAAAGTCCTAGTTAAATATTTTTTTTTATATATATATTTAAAATGGTGAGCTTTTTTTTCCACTAAGTAGCGGGGCAGTGTGAGAAGTGCTACATCGCCGAAAGAATCTCTTAAATGATTAAGCTGCAACCTACAGTCTATTTTTCCCTGATTTCCTTCCATTTTCTGATTCCGGTGGGAATCAACCAGTTTTTTGAGGTATGGAGCAGGCCGAGAGCAGGACCAGCAGCTGACCTGTGGTCCAGGATGTACATTGCCTCTCATCCAGTGAATATTGGGATAGGCTCTAGCCCAATCCTAACCCTGAACAGGGTAAGCACATTAGAAAATGGATGGATGGTATCCGTAGCAACAATATTTGATTACAAAAGCAGGTGAGGTGACTGTAGCACACTCACAACAATCTATTGTTAACGTCTCTAAGTTCTTTGCTCACTGAAATGAATTCATACAGATGGCAGTCTGGAAGGAAGGGGAAACACATTTTTTTAAATCTGAAAATCAATGACATGCTTTACAAAAATGTACATAGTTTCGAGTAAAAGAGTACAAACATACAAAAGCACGAGCTTGAAACCACTATTCTGATAAGTGTCATTCAGTGTTGGGGAGAGTCTACTTATCGCCACTGTTCACCTTTACAATCACAGTTCTGCATCTGGCATGTGTTGTCATGACATTTTTATGCGGATGTTACATAATTTTGCAGTGTTTGTGAAGCAGTAGGTATCTGGGCTTTTGGTAACTGTAAGAAACCGAACTGTATGTTGCCTTGAATTCATACAGTCATTGTCAGACTTCTAATGAAGATGATGCATCCACACGTCTGCATTTGCGCAGTACATACAACCATGAGTGAATATTGCATGATACAATATTCACTTATCGTTACCACTATGATCTATAGTAGATGGGGTAACACAATGGCAACCCAAACATCCCATCAGCTGCTGCATGTAGAAAAGTGATAGAAGTCAGATGGATAAACGGTATAACTTGTTCCTTCCTCTTTCCAGCTCAGATGTAAGAACCAAATGTGTTCGTCATCCTCTTCTAGATTGCCTGTATTCACTTCTGCAGCCTATTGTGTGTGTGGCCTTGTGTTTCTATCATCCAAGTCTGAAATTGTGACCAATGACTTATTTTAACTGCATGTGTACTGAGATGAAATAAAACATCGTTCCTCTTTCTCTTGTTCTGACGTTGTGAAGCACAGGATAATCAATTTTGTCACTAAGCCACCATTGGGCTGATATTGTGTTGTCTGATCTTGGTATGAGACCTACAACTTCTATAATGTACCCAAACTTAGGATCTGATAGGCACAGTACGTACACTGATAATTACATTACACTTCACTTTATATCATTTGTCCTCAGCTGTATTTATGTATGTGCTTTACACCCTACTGACACACACACACACCTAATCTTACCCTAAACTTTAAAATTTAATGATTGCCCTTATAGGGACTAAGCAAGTCCCCACAATGTCACTGTGTAAGTAGATTTATGTCCCCACAACATGAGTAAAACATGTAACTATCTGACTAGTACGTCTGTTGCTCACACACACACTCACTCTTTCTACCCACCCAGTGACTATGAACAGTTCCATCTTACCTTCCACTCACAAAACCATGAAAGATGTCACACTATAATTGGCTGGCAGTGTTGTCAAGGATGTAAGTTGTTTGATTACATCTTTAAAATATGGCAATTTTAAGAATGAAAGAATTAAACTTTTTTCTTAATAAACAATGCTCTCTTAACCCTCTCATATTATTCCATGTGTGTCACACACATGCCCACTAAGCCTCTGACTGGTCAACAGACCAAGGAATCATGGGATTGCCAGTGGATGGCTAACAACTATGTTAACAACAACACTGGTTTTCAACACAGAAAAAATTATCAATAATCACAGAAGACATTGGGTGTCACTTGAGTTGACTAGGTGTAAATGCTGAATATTCTAAATAAATTGTATTTGCACTGAAAATGTTTTGAGATGTTTAAAGAGAAAAATATATATTTTTGCAATACTTTCAATTTTTGATTTTAAAGTAATTCAAGAGTATTTAGGTTAGAGTAAACTCCTTTTTGGTAATCTAATGGATTCAATTTTGCCATATAATTTGTATTTAGTAATTGACTACATTTCAAAATAATCTGCCCCAACACTGTTGGTTGGGGTCCAACATGTAGTCTGCAAATATTGGAAATATTAGTGTTATAATCATTGACAGTATATATGGTTGTAATGTAGCCTAATGTGTAGGCATTACACTATTACACAAGCAATGACATGGGCTAAAGGTATGGTGAGAAGAGGCTTCAAAGTATCAAAAGGAAAGGTATGTATGTCATGTAAAATGGCTTTTTTTTCTCTAATAATAGCCAACGTACTTATATAGTAGAACGTAAACAACATTTTACTGTTGTAGTTGGTGGTGGTGGAGCAAAGCACCCAATAACTATAAAGTGATGGAATAAAAATAACAATATTTCCGTCTTAAATGTATTGGAGTAGAAGTATGAAATATTATAAAAATGTATAATAATAAATACTAATCACAAAATCCTTAAGTGCATTAGCAAATGCACTTAATTATTTTCCACCACTGGGTACAAACTGGGTGCTTGGAGATTTAAAGACTGTATTTAACAGGCAGGGACAGTATAACACAAAGATACTATTGGTTGCATTATGGGAAATTTAGGAATTAAGCATTTTATGGAGTTTGATGCATACTAGCAGCTAAAAATATTACTGCTGGACAGATTTTGACCATTAGTCTTTTAATATCTCTCTTGTTGCTCCCTTAACTTTATGGATGAGAAATGCTTAAACTACTAAAGTATCTTTCATTTCTCATTTGTACATGGGGTTTGTATCAATTAAGAAGACTATATGTGTGAAGAGCAGGAGGTTTTAACCTCTGTTTGCAGCCTTTTCTGCAGGATGACATTCAAGCCCCCATCTGTGCTTCTTTGAGGGGTCAGGCCTGGCCTTCAACCAGCACCAACACAGACAGAATAGCTAATGAGAGGCAGGAGAGAAAATGTCATTCCTTAACATTTTATCATTCTACATGTAAAGGCCAGACATCTTTTTTCATTCCATGCTCCTAAGCAGAGAGTGAGATATTATTATGATGATGATGACAGTCAAAACCACTGGTGCTTTATATGTATGTACATGTATTCATGATTGTGTTAAGAGCTACTTATAGATGTAGTCAAGTGGAAGGCTAACATATATGCCTGACATAAGAAACCCATTTAGTCACAGGTAGCACTGGAACTTGCTGTCAATTCAAAATATGACTTGAAAGAAATGAAAAATGTTTCTCTGAACAGCACAGTAACAACCCTGCAAGGACACATTTAATCAAAATCTTCAGCTGCCTGTCTCCCAGCGCATAAATATGTTCTAAATGATGACCAGTTATAGCTATTAAAGCAGATCATTTCATCTCATGTAAATACAATGTTGTCTCTTACACATCCACAC